GCAAAGGACTGGTCATGAGTATCAAAAGGAACTTACTCTTCAGACACAGCCTGACAGCCAGGTACAGTAAACTTACATAAGAAATGGTCATGATATAAAACTACTGAAGATAGTTTAGGCTCGTGAACCTAGAAAATAAAGAACTTTGACAGCTTAGCATAAAGAAATTCTTGAGCCTGAGTATCAAGATCATTGGAGTAAGATGTACATCTGGCTCTAAGAAACGGAAAACTTTGACACGATTGACATGAAGAAGTCTGGATAAATCTCGAGGCTTTGTTAAAAAGACACTCATGTTTTTAGTTTAACTCTTAAAACTGTTGCCTTTTTTCAAGCAACGGAAAAAGCATGACTCGTGTTTCCTTGTCATACCTCCAAATATTTTGATTTTCAGGTCATCGGCTCCGGGAATTTCAAATTTTTGCGTGGTATTTTTCATCAGGTTCAACGCGTCGATGAGCAGATGCCCATGAGAACGATACTTTTCATCTTCTGAAAGACAATTTTCATAATGGTCTACTTGAACAAATGCCTACTGTCGTCTCTGTATGGAATGTTGACCCATTTTGCCTTGAAAACGGCAAAGTCGCCATCCCGATTGCTGACCACCATCGCTCTTTCGTCCGGCGATGACAGATGAGGGAAAAATTGCTTAATTAAGAACTCGGTAATGCAAATTCAAAAATATATACACAAACTACCAAATGCTCTTCCAGCTGGCTCTTCGTTGGAATTGAACCTGGTCCGAGGAGATGAGACGAAGCGATCAGCCGTTCCTGGCTATCGAATACCAAAACCGCTGACAACAGGCCTTTAGCCGAGTGAATAACGTTTACGTTGTAGCACAGGCTTTCTTTGCTGCTGATCACTCTATTCAAAAAAAATCTGCATGTGCGTAAAAAACACACAACATGTTATTAAAACAAATGAAATTCATAATCCATCAGATTTGATCAGATTTACGACAGTCATTTACAACAATAATCGGAACCGTTCAACAATAGATAGTTTCACCTTATATGATTTAATATTTTCTCATACAGAAAATATTTTTCCAGCAGCCGGGGACTAAGCAGAGCCAACTAGCTGTAGCTTGCTCTAAATTTGCTTTTCCTCAGATTTTTCTTACACTCCTAGAGGTATCCAACACATCCGCTTTCTGGCAATTTTTGGAAGCATATCAGTGATTTTCAGGTAGCTCAAGGCTGGTCCTCATTGATTTCAGAATGATCATTGGTGCTCTACATAAAGTTTTCAACCGAAACATCTGCTTCAGAAGATACCCTGGTTTTGACGTGTTTTCTTTTCCTCAACCCATGTTTTCTGAACATTTTCGTCCATGGAACAGCCATGTCAATATCTTCAGCTGTCTGAAATGTGATGCAAGATTAACATATCTAGACCACTGTCTGTGAGTATAAGCTGATAGTAACAGATAGTGCAGTGAGCACTTTCTAGCACATGCTCTGAATTGTATCGATTAATACGGTGCCGTTAACGTCATTAGACCTCCGCCAAGTACCAGTTGTTGTTGCATGATCCTTGCTACGAGGTGCTGCCTGAAATACACAGTTTTGGCCAAAACGAAGCAACATTTTACACTATGTCAGATCGATTCAGTAATTGTACTGTATATCATGTATTTATTCTAAATGTATTTCTGAGAATGCACTTCCTTACAGCTCTTTGTAAGCACCACTCCGTCTTGCATGTTGCATTATTATTTTAATTTCATATTCTCTCATTCATAACTGATTTAATCAGTAACCAAAGGCTTAGCATAGCTAACTAACTGCGGCCCGATACAAATGTTTTATTTCTAAGATTTTTTCACAGTATTCAAGCTGTGTTTAAAACAGCAGTTTGCTGACTTTATATTAGTAACAGTTCTGTCGCTCCAGGTAATCCAAACTGGTCCTCACTGATCTTAGAATGAGACATTCACAGGGATGGCTAGGGATGTGTTGGTGCAGTCTTCAACCCATACCCAGCTTTTGGAATTATTTTATTTTCTCAACCCACGCTTTCTGCAAATTTTAGTCAATAAAATAATGTTCGATGCAGCTATATGTGAAGGATACTAAGAAACCATGGAACCATCCTTGTTTGAACGGTTCAAGGCCGCAACTGAGCAAAGGATAATATATAATCTTTTTCGTTGCGACGTTTAGACACTGCAACTGGGGTCCTCATCATCAGCAGGGTAACGATATAATCTAGAAACCAGAAAATGACCGTCCCTTCCAAAGCTCGTACTGTGAATGGCCTGAAGCTAATAGGCCTTTTGATTCCATGGTGGAGAGCACGGAAATCAAGTCTATGAAGTAACCTAGACCTATGGACAGAGGCATATTGCAACCATATTGCCCCAGTCAATAACTTACTCTAACGCCACTAACTGATACCATGTCTAGATGACTTACATCCTGTAAGTTAGTGGCTATATTGAGTCCATGGTGAGTAGCAAGAATTCTAGTTTTTTTTGGTGCTACCAACCATGTAATCAAAACACCTATCAGCTTCAACTGTCTTTTCACAATTCTTTGACTAGAGATATAGATCTTATGCTTCTTCATGTGTAGCAAACCATCGAATCATAAAGGATAGTCATTTTTAATATCTTTTCCGCGAGGCGTTGGCAAAAGTTTTTGAACTTACCTATATTTATAAACCTAACTCATCATTATGCAGATTTCAACCTCGTTGTTTTGGTTGATTATTTCTGGAAATTTCCCGACAATGAACCTTTTATGTAGCGATATTTGCATTTATGTAAGTCCTATTTGCTCAAAGAACGATGAATTACCTGTGACAAGCAGCCAGCACGAACTTCGCTTCCTCAAGACCTTTCATGTTAAGCGAAAAAGCGCGACACAGTTTGTGAGTTTCCGAAAGCACGTTAAAGAATAGTTTATTGAAGCTCCCGGCTATCAGTTCTAGTTTGATGTTCACCGACAAGTGAGTGGTCAAGCCGAGCGACGATTTCAGAGGCGGCAGATCAGCGGAGGTCTTCTCGGCTCCCAGATCAATGCTAATTACGTTTTTGGTACCGTTGTTGAGGTATTTGCAGAGCATCGTTTTGACGTTTATTCTGCCGTGTAATTTCACCAACTCCTTCTTCAGCAGGAAGCTGCGTTCGTACAGTTCGACCGAAGCGAAAATGTACTTCTCCTTGTTCAGGTCGACGTCGAACTCGACCGTACTCATTCTGCCCGACGAAGGGTCCGCTTCCCAAACCAGAACCAGCTCACGTCGACCTTGGTGACTGGCGAACTTTTCGTCGAACTCCACCGGTAACTCGGCGACCTTCTTCGATCCGTAGTGCAGGTTCAGCCGCACCGACTTCTTAATCGTTGGCAGGATCTTCAGCGATATGCTGGAGATATTCACCCTGCAGTTGGTGATGCACGAGAAGTCCTGCGCGCTGAAGCCGAGAAGCTCTGGCGCCGAATGTCCTCTGTACATACACCCCTGCCGGAAATACGGTTTCTCGGGAAAGTACTTCTGCCATAGCTGTTTGGTGCGCGATTCGCC